AGCTTCACAGTAGTCTCAAGGCCTCTACAGATCATAAACAGGCTGTGAATCTTTCCTCCTCTTATACACTCAGACAAGCTCGTGTTGCTTTACTGCTGAGTATTTTAATGCTTTTACAAGATCTTTCCTCAAAGAACAGGACAAATATATATTTCATAGCTTTAAATTCCCAAAGTTAACATATTACATTTTCTTCCTCATTTCTACAGTATCTAAATTTCATTCCTCCTACTCCCGCTTTCCAGACAAATGGCCCCAAGAAACACCACGAGCTCCGCTTACATCTGCTTCTACACACGTAATTATCTCCAAAGAAATGTTAAAAATACTCAGGAACAAGCCAGAAATAAGCAGGAGCCCAAGTGAGCCCTTGGGATCGTGTGAACCACGGAGCAGCACTGAATTATGAATGAATGTGGCTGGCTTTGCATTTTAAGAACGTGACACAACAGAAGGCTCCAATGAAGTAGCATAATAAGATTTCTCAGTGCCATGTGTCAGCATAACTTTGTAACATGAACAGTAAAACAATCCAGGAACATCTCAACTCGGCCACAGAACCAAATCTCCTATGGAACATTTGCATTTGATTTCTTAGGAAGAGGGAAGCAAAGCTGCATTTGAGACAGTCACTGAAAAACTGAAGAGGAAATGGTCACCGAATGTACCGACAATATTCACTGTTCACTCACTTTTTCCTATCAAAGCAGAAGATTTATCTTAATGTGATCACGTAATATCCTAAGTACATTATGTATTCAGTTATGGAAATGCTGTTTTCATGCAAGTACAGGCCCAGCCTGAGAAATGCTGAAGTCATTCATCTTCCCCACCAACTAAGTGCACACTCTGGAGTTCGCCAGATTTCATTCCGAGGAATCTTAGGGCATTTTAACTAGAATGCAGGTCAAAACATAACCCAAGACTTTCAAGAAAAAGATAATGCTTAGGTGTCAGTTATAGGTTTTTAGTTCTTACTCTGAAATTTCCACATCTCATTGTCAAAATCCACCCTAACATGCCCAACTTTTCAGATTACCGGCTTTTTTTTCAGAAGTCATGCACTGAAGTGACATTCTGAAATAATCCATCTCTATATAATGCAGCTCATGCCACTCTATCAAAAATGATGAGTGGAAGAGGTCTTTTTTTTTTCTTCCACTTCAGAAGAAGTTTTCAAGTCTCAAAAGAGTAAATGAGTGGGGCTTTATCAACACACAAGCATCCTGGAGGTAACAGAGGAAGGCAAAACACAGCAAATACCTGGTTGTGCCCACGGCTGCTGGGACAGGCTGTATTTGGGACCTCCTTGAGTGGCCATTGTTTTTAAAGCAGACACCTAAAACAATCACAATCAACAAACACAATCAACATTTATTAATTTGGGTTGAAATCACAACAAAAAGACCCAGTAAAAACTGTAAAAGCCTCTCAGACACTGCAGTTTATCTTACTGAATCCCCGCCTGCTTTCTCGTTTCTAAGACTTGGCTTAAGAATAAAGAGGGGAAGGTGCTTGACAGAAACGCAATTCAAAACCCATCACGAAACCCATCAAAACCCATTCTTCAAAGTAAATTCAAAATTGGTTCAAATTTACAAAGACAGACATGTGGGGAAACCTCAATAGGGATTTATAGTCAAGAAGCTTGGTTAAACTACCCAAATTCTCAATAAATCAAATGAAGATGATCTGGGCAGCTCTATCAAACCCCCCAGTTACTCATCTATATTTTAAGCATCTTAATGGCTCCTCACTCCAGTGCTACAGGGATCAGCAAAATTAACCCTGAATCTTCTGAATTCCCACAGGTCAGCAGCTGGCTTGTTTCTGGCACCCATGCAACACCACAGCCCCAACTGCTGAGATATCAAGCTACAAACCCACTTCTACTCAGTGCACAGTATCCACAACACACTTCTCATTTTCCAGAAAAGATCCTGCTGTGCTATTCTCTCCAGATGTCCAGGAATCCTAAATTCTAGAGCAGGTTCTAGGAACAAGCCTATTGGAGCCCGATGCTTTTTTGTTCCTGGTCCCTACAGCACGTGATCTTTCCAGCCACGTCTCATCAGTAACTTCTGTTACAAACTGGAGGTAGGAGGAAAGTCCTGTCCATCTCACTGCTCTGAGGCTGACTGAACACTGACAGGCAAATGCAACAACAGTCCAGCTCTAAAATCTTCCTTAAAAGCTGCATGACCTGAGACTGTTTTTGGAGACTTATAAACTCAGCAATAGGACAGAAGTCTTCCTGCAAACAGGAAAGCTTCTGTCAAATTTCACAGACATCTTTCATTGAGTTGAAAAGTTCTTAATGAAGGAGAATAAAGATTCACTGAAAACAAACAAACTGTGATTCATTCCTTTATTCCTTTAGTCTCAAAAAGGCCTGGACAATTCTCATTGAAACTTCCAGGGGATCATGATCTTACAATGGGAAACTTTCAAGGGATCATGATCTTACAATGAGAAATGTGATCACCTTCAGCTAGCCAGAGAGCACCAGCACACTCTTGTATCCAATTTAAGAACTAACTCCCCAGACTGACCAGTTCTTCAGTTAGGTGAATAAGCACAGAGCAGCTTTGTACCTTTGTCATGAACTCCTCCAGCTGTTCTATGAACTGTTTGGTCTGCTGCTGAATAAACTGCTCGCAAGCTGATTTCAGGTGACGATCTACGTCTTTTTTAGAGTCAATATAATGTTCTCTGATTTCTGGAGTACCCTTGAACAGAAGACAACAATTCTCTCCTTTTTATTTGCCAGAGATCACCACCCACTTAAACAACGAGTTTTTTCTTATGCAGTTAAAGACCTCATGTTACCTCCAGTAAGAACTGGATCAAGGCGTTGTTGCTGTTTAGCCTGAAGAATCTTGACACTGTCTTTGGGTTGAGGATTTTAAATGCTGCATCTGTGGAACAAAATCACTCACATTGTAAGTAGATGTGATTCAGCTAAAGGAACCTAAAATATTAATCACTCATTTATTCATTTAAATGGGACAGCAAGATCACCTCTAAAAACATGAGGGATGACACTGCTGCTAGGTGCACATGCACAGAAAGGCACAGACACTCATGCAGTTTGATCCAGGTGTACATCATCCTGGAGACAGCAAACCCAGCTCCAGTGGTTGTACAATCGTTTAAGGTAAATACTTAAAGTAACAGCTAACTAAATCATACTAAAGTACTATTAATATAGTGATATTAATACTAAAGTAACAGCTGACTGCTACCAGCTGAAATGCTACCAGCGGGAAATTCTGCAAAACCTTTTCATTTGTAACTCTACTTAAAAGTGAAAAAAAAAATCACTAAAGTAACAAACTCAGCAGCCTAGGGAAGGCAGAATTTGGCCCATGTGGCCTTGGAATACCAAACATGATTGCACAAAATCACTTAGAATTGGCACCATCTTCCTGTGCAGTTCATTTCTGTAGTTAGGACTAAGCAACAAAACGTTGCTTCTGGTCTCTGCAGACATCTCAGGAAGGAAAAGCAGTGGTGACTGCAACTAGCACAAGATACTCAAACTATTCCTGTGTGTCAGAAGCACATCATTAACCTTAAATCTAATCAAAGTGGGGGAAAAATATCAATAGTTATCAATACATTTTCAGCTGTGCTTTCAGTAATGCCTGTGACCCCAGTATCTTTCATTTGTCCTCCTACATCTCAAACTTTTTAAAATTTTATTTTAGAAGTAGTTCTCAGCCCCTGTTGCTGTGTAAAACCAAGGGAAGTGACATAGATACATGCCTTAAGAGAGTGCTGCCAAAGGCATTAAACAAAGAGCAAATACCGGGCACGTAGGCTTGGCACTAACCTAAGAGTCTATGGAGTTACAGGAGAGAGTAGAGGAAGATTCATTTCCTTCTCTGACTTAATTCCCAGATATTTCACCAATTCCAAAAAGAGTCTAAGTTCCCAATAAGGTGCCTAAGAGCTAATGAGTGTGAAAACCTCTCCCCACTATGTCTTTCAATTATAATACCTTAGTATTGTCATATTAAATTTTTTTTTTTTATTTCTTTGGAAGCTTGATGTCTACATTAAGGAATGTCCCTTTATCTATGAATCCCAAGTTATACCTATATGCAGAAAACTTGACTACAAGACAGTAAAACTCCTATCAGTCATGTTATTTTGCTTCCACAACTCAACACAAATATGAAGTCTTTAAAGCCCTACTGGCTTAAGCTAGACTACATTAAGCACAGCTTACATCTTTCTCAATCCCCATACTTAGCACAAAGTGTTTTCCATTACTTACCACCATCAGCAGCAAAACCCTGGCTGGCACAAAAATTTATTCAATTAAATAGAGAACAAACTTGTATGTCAGCCAGGAAAAGACACCAAAAGGACTTATTTACCCTTCAACCTCCAGGCAACTAGAAACTACTCAACAGGTAGGAGGTTTCATTGATGTTCAAATGCAATAGAGGAAATGGTTAGTGTAAGAATTTCTCAGTTCAAGGTTAAAACAGCAGCACAGCAGATAGCAGGTAAGAAAAGTTACTTCTTCAGCTTTCTCTTCTGGAAAGAAAGTAAAACCTGACAAGTTTCTGATTATTTTCCCTTTATATTTATAGACTTAAGGATTCCTCAACCTTTCAACTTTTCCACAAGAATTCTTTTCCCCGTGCATTCCACAAAGCAAGCAGAGTACAGTTTTAGAAGCCAGGCCATCATTCTTTATTTTCTCTTCCTAAAGAGGCATGCTTACTTCATAAAAATATTCAGTAAGGCTGCTTAATACATTTGCAACAAAAGAGCCCCTCTCCTAAACCAAAACTCACAGAAATTTTTGATTTATTCTATGCGAGTCAACTATAAATTTTTAAATTAACCAGCAGCAATAAAAGCTTTTCTCTTAAAAGGTCAGCAAAATGGAGAGACATCTCTGTGAAATGGAAATGTAAGGATTACTTGGCTTTTTTTTTTTAAAAAGAAGATTGCAAACACAAGTTAGCTCAGCAGCAGAAAGCGCAGGCAAATGCATTTCACTCACAAAGCAAGGAACTCATTAGAACCATCCTGAATTGCCCTTATACAGGTGCTTATTTTGTTGGGTTTTTTTTTTTTGGATTCCTTTTTCTTCAGAAAAGGCAAGACTAAAGCAAGAGATTAGAGCAAGCCCACAGGGTCATTGCAGGTGAACATAAAACAAACCCACAACTTCTGCTAGCACATTCAGGGAGGACAACCCCATCCCATCCTGCTGCCAGCAACTGTTCAGTACCTCTAGTTTTCTTAAGGTCCAGGGAAATTTCCTTAATGGTGAATTCAGTGTGGAAAGGAGCAATTTGTTCGCGAAGAATCAAAAGGTGTTTTATTAAGAAAAGTTGTCCATCCACCTGGGTCTACAGCAGAAGAAAAAGAACATGCATCACATCTTTAAAAAACATTAAATGAACAGCACAGTCTCAATCCCTCCACTTTTATCGGGTGCTTACTCTAACAAAATTGATTGCAAAAGCCTTACAAGTTTTTCCCATTAGTCTGCAACACCATTAACTGCACCCTGGGACCAACGAGCCCCACTTTGGGACTACTCCTAATAGACTGTTCTACTGAAGCAGATTGTATTCATGCTCCTTAGAAGAACTAAATTATACAGCAGTATTAGCAAGTCTACTTTATACATAGGTTTGAGAGATTATTTGAGATACAGCCTAATTCCTCATAACTTGGTTGCTTTGTATAAATATTTCTTGTATGTCACAACTTACAGTGGAAAATCAGGATAACTAATCAAGGTGACTGCAGAAACATTAACTGTACTATTGTGCAAAGGTCTTACAAGGCACTTCTCTCATATCTTTAAATATAAAGCTTAGTTAATCTCTAAACAGTATAGCAGAGACACACAGAATAAAGCAGGGCTAAGTTTTCACCACTGTCACAATCAGTTCTGGTTATTTCAGCTCTGTGGTTTATGCTGCATGCAGCTTTGCACCTTTAAAGTTCACAGCTTGCTGAGGTAAATGGAGCAGGATTCACAAACACTTATTTGCTTTGCAGGAGAACTTTTCCTGACATAATGTTACAACAGTAAAGTGATTAATTTTCAATCTACAGCTTTAATAAATAAGAGCGCTACTAAAAATAAATGGTGAAAGGCTTTTGAGTGCTCTTTTGTTCATTTTTAATTTTTACATGTGTGATTTCACTCACTAACATCAAATTGTGTCGAGAGCAAAGGGGCACAGACCCCAGTCTTGTGTCAACCAAGACAGAGCCCATTGCTGGGCCAGTTTCAGCCTTCACAGTCAAAAGCAACCTGATGTTCAGTGCTGCAATGGATAATTCTCTTTGGAGCTCTGGATTCCATATGACGGGGGCAACTGCTCAAGTTTTAAAGGAAATGTTTAGATTTTTCTTTAAATGATGATTTATCACATTATAAAAGGATTTTTGTAATCCTTTATTTAAATCCAGATTATTTAAAAGGACACAGTCAGAAGAAATAACACTTCAAAGCAATTTTTCACTTCTAATGGCATCTAGAACTTTTTTCCTCTACTAAGTATTTACTGTTTATATAAAAATCACCAAACTTAGCCTAATAAACCCGTTTTTTGGCTGCCAAGAATTAGCAAATTAGTGTTTTTATTAAAGAAACCACAACAGGAAAAAAGGGTAATTAAAAAAAAAAGGGTTTAATCTAATTAAAGTTACATTAAAGTTACGTTTCAGGTTCAAATAACTTCATGAAACTGCTTCAAACTCTGAGGAACAGATCAGAGGAAACCTTTTGATTTCACAGAGATCTAATCAATGAAAATTTTAAAAAATCTCCTCATCATATAATTGAAAACTAAATGTATAGAAATATTCATATAAAAATATGTATATATATAAGAAAAAGGGGTAACAAGCAATGACAATAAAGAAATACCAGGAGCAGAGATTTCTCTCAGAATTTCTCTTTAAGCATCACTTGCCTGAATTCTTGTTGGCAGCCTGTAAGCATGAGCTGCAATTCTGCTTTTCAGACGGGCTTATGTAGGAACTTCTATCTTGGTTTTATAATATCTTATTGTAACTAAGAGCTAGCAACTCCTTCAGAACGCTGGGGACAGAGCAATGCACTTTAGGAGTGATTTCAATAGAATTTAAAATAAAAAAACACTGAAATCGAATAGCTTTTGGTGTGTATATATATAGGAAATAGGAAATTTCATATATATATATATGTAGGAAATAAGGACAATCCCGTACGCAAAGCCCACACTCTGACCTTGTTCTTGCTGATGGCATCGGCGGCTCCGAGCAGCGAGTGGATGCAGGCAGACAGAGCCTCTTGCGACAGCCCCTGAAACACGGCCCTCTGCAGGGAGCAAAACAGACCCAAAAAAGGGGTTTGCAAAGCACGAGGAGACCCCAGCACACTGCCTCGTGCAGCCCGGGCTCCCAGCACCCCAAAGCTACGGACCCACTTGCCAAGAACACACAGTGAAGCAGGGAGGAAATATAACGTTTGCTCGGGCTCCCTGTGAGCTGGATGCAGGCAGGCACCTACCAAGCCCTATGTCATGATCATCACTCCAAATATTCACTCACCTTAACAAGGCTCGTGTATTAAGTAACCAGGTACCAGCATTTTCTAGTTTGCTTTTTAGCAGATAATACTGTGGCAACAGTTCACATAACGCCTCAAAAATATCTGTAATGCATTAATGGATTTAACACAGGAAAACAAAAAGTATTTGCAGCAAGTTTGTCAGAGGCTTGCTAGTCTTTTATGCTGGTAGATGACAAACTAAATCTGATTTTAAAGGGGAAAGTCAAAATAGGATGAAGCAAACACTACATCTGTTTATGTTTGATGTGCAGGTGAAAACTGGATAATGTGAACAGCTGCTTACCATCTATGTATCAGTTTCCTATATTTTTAAGCCTGTAATAACATGCCACAAAGTACTGAAGACCTCTCGAAAACACAGAAATAGTCATTATTTTTAATTCCAGAAACATCACCTTGTGTGATGGCCTGCAAAGCACAGAGCAAGCAGCAGCACGCTGAGACACTGGGTTCAGCAGCAAGTTTTCTCTGTAATGACCTAGAATTTTCTACTTTCTTCTGCCTCATTCTCTGAATCCACCATGACAAGCATCAGAAACTGAATTATCTGTATAATAACTAATACTTTATAAACCAGAGTCTTCTCTCCAACTCTACAGACACAAATTTGTCTTGGAAATCATGACCTGTGTTGGGCAGTTTAGTTGGTTTACATAACAACACCTGCAAAAAGACTAACAAGAAATAGCAGGGACAAGGAAATATCCATTATTCATTTCACAGAATCACAGACTGGTTGAGGTTGGAAGGGACCTCTAGGGATCATCCAGTCCAACCCCCTGCTCCAGCAGGGACACCCAGAGCACAGGGCAGCATCCAGGCGGGTTTGGGAGACCTCCAGAGGAGGAGACTCCAATTTACTCTAACTTAGCTTAAAATATTTAAAACTGGTACTAGATGCTTCACAACTTCCCTTGAAACACTAGACAAAGAAATGTTTGCGTACATCTATGCATCTGTAGAGCTTGGAGAGACACACCAGAGTCCTTCTGACAGTAGGATACCACATCCCATGCAGATCTGCTGGTGAAATCGTCGTCTGGTGCCTGGGATTGAGAGATTCTGCTGAACCTGTGTAAAAGTAAAACACACACGTGAAAAACCTATCCCATCTGTCCTATCCAAACCTATCCATCAGCCCTTCCAAGTGAAGGAGGCTGCAACATGGACTGCACTTTATATTGATCCCTACAGCAATATCACATGTATTATTGCACAAAAATTACTCAGCTTTTTCCTTCTCTGCAGGGCAGAACAAGATTCTGTGGAAGACAGGAATTTGCTTTCAGGAAATGTGCAGCCTTACTCTTTTCTAATGAATTAGTTTTACACGGCTGTCTCCAGTGACCCTCACCTACTTAAGCCCAGAAGCTGCAAATTGTCAGACAAACAATTACCGATGAAAGGTGTACAGGAGAAAGGGATATCCCCAGGGAACTGTGGAAGAGGCTCAGGAAAAAGAACAAATATAAAACGAAAAAAAAAAGAAAGAAACTCAGCCATTCCATCAATTTTACTTTCTCATACTTTTCTTTTTGCTGTGGCTGATCTTAGAACTGCAGAGGTGCACAGTTTAGGCATCATAGGGCAGAAATGATTCAAAAGTAAAATGATTCAGACATGGAGTTTTCAGTAAGTATTTAAAAAACATCCCAGCTCCTGGACAACTTTATAACATCCCTGTATGCTCAAAATGGATTTTTCCAGAAGACAACAGATAGATACCTTGTACTATTCTCATTTTCCCCTTAGATGCTGGGAAATGGCTAAGCCAATAGCATGATAACCTTGATCTCAATGTGCAACCACTCAAAAAAGTTTTACCTCTTGATGGAGTAAGTGCTTATGAGTTGATTATGTGATGTGGGAGTTGTCTAAAAATAATCCTGCAGCATCTTTTCCTGTTTTTCAATTAAGAAAAAATGTCAGAGTAATTGAAGGTCTGTCAGACCTTGGGTTTTCTGCCTGAATTTCCTAAGCTACTTACTAGGCACTTCAGTAACTTCTGCAGGGACTGAAAAGGGAGAGGCAGACACCCCTGAGGGGTGACCGACCCCAGTGGTCTGGGGCATGTGGAAATGGGATGCAGGATATTTAAGGAAAAATTTCGTAATGGTGAGGGTCACAGAGCCCTGGCACAGGCTGCCCAGGGAGGCTGTGGAGTCTCCTTCCCTGGAGATCTTCCAAACCCGCCTGGATGCCACCCTGTGTCCCGTGCTCTGGGTGTCCCTGCTGGAGCAGGGGGCTGGACTAGATGATCTCTAGAGGTCCCTTCCAACCTTAACCCGTCTGTGATTCTCCGATACCAGAGAGGTCCCTCCCTTATCCTGGAGGTTGGTGGGGCCTGTGGGACTTGTTACCTGCCTCAGGCTGGGCATGCAGTGGATGAGCCCTGCTCTTCACAGGGTTTGCCTGCTCTAACTAGAGGCACCAACAAGATCTGTGCCCGCCTTGCAGGCCAGAAGAAAGAGCAGGTAATGAAAAGGAATATCAGAACCAGCTGAAACAGAGCCAAGAAAGATGCTGCTGGGAAACACCACCATTCTGACAGGGGACAAAATAAAGGGTGATACTCCTTGTGGGTCTTAGCCATAAACTCCTAGGGTTGTAACACACAGTGACTGACACTAAAAGAACCAAAACTTGATGAAAATTGCTCCCAGTTCACTGTAATCTACTGGCCCATGGGCCACATATTTAAAAAGTCAAGGACTGTGTTTTGAGTTATTGCAAAAGCATGTAAAACTACTACATAGAAATACATTCTAAGGACAAAGTCATTTCTCCAAATAAAGGCCCAGACAAAAACTTCTGAATACCCAAAGTATTCATTTAAAAAATGGATTTTGTTAAATATAACAAGAGCCACACAAAAATATAAAATTAATTTGCTCTTCATTCCAAAAAGCCAGGAAGCCCTAGATAAATTTCACCTCTCAAAATCTCCTCTGAAGTTCTATAGAAAATGAACCCCTTAAGATGCATGCAAATTTCTCACTGATAAGTCAAGTTCATCCTCACTTGCCATGAGCTGTATGCATTAATTTGTCAGTGTGATAGGCAATATATTTCAAGGCATACCAGATTTAGCCAGGCTGCAGGACTCTGGATCTTCTAGCCGGACATCTGAAAATGAAGCCTCAGATGACAGTTTCTTCTGTTCATCTTTCAAGCTCTGTGCAATTTGCTGCAAAAGAAGAAAACTGGTTTTTTTGTTTGTTTGCTTGTTTTTGAAGAAGCATTACACTTCTGTTTATAATTAAAAAAGTACTAACAGAAGTCTGCTATACTCAGATCTCAAAAATTGAGATCTAACAGAGATATCAAAGCAGAGCAAAGACAGCTTCTAAAACAGCAGCAGAAACACGTTAATATCAATTTAAGACCTGGAAGCATTATACAGATCTGCATAAAATGCAATACTTTCCATTTTATCCCTTTTTACTGATCCGTAAAGAATAACCAGACAAGCACCTAGAACCAGAAGCTCAGACCTGGGGACCCAATTCAACATTTGGATTCAACCATTGCATATAGATAACCTCTGTGACGGCTTTATTACTATAAATACTATGTGCAGACAGTCCTGAAGTGCTCTCTCATTTACTCCCCATGGGAGTTCAACAAAAAGCTTTCTAAACAGTACTTAACATTTTTACATTTCGCCCTTATTGGTCTGCTTCAAAGCAACTACATAGAGCAAGAATGAGGAAAGAATTGCATTAACATTTGAGCAGAGCAGCGTAAGAAATGCCTCTGCCCTCTGCTTTCAGCATTTTAATAATTCAGTTATGCAGAGAAAAGGTCTCTAAATATAAAAGTTTGGAGGTTAAAAAGCAGTCATGCAGCAAAATGAATCACAGACCAGGTAAAAAAGAAAGAAAAATAAAGGAGTCTTAGGAGGACATACAAAAACCAGCATATTTCTCTCACTGGAATGAATGGTAAAACTCATTTCCTTTTTCTCCCTAGGAGTGTGGACATAGAACCCTAATCAGAAAACAAGGCCTGATGTAGACTAGGATGCTGCCCTGCTTGTCTATACAAGCATCACTAACATGATAAAATTCTCACTGTTTTTTATTTCTCCAGTTATATTGATGCAATAATAATAATAATCAAAACAACCCACCCTGCAGTCCTAGAAGTTTTAAGAATATAGCTTTTGATCTTCATCTATCATTGACAGAGAGATGACATTATCTGTCTATTCTGTGGTGGACTTCTTGATTACTTGCTGTTGCTTTAAGAATTTTCATTTGTCATTAAACTTTCATAAAAAAAAATTATGGATTCCATAAAACTCACTAGCTTAGAGATTATGTGCTTTCCTAAAAACCTATGAATTTCATTTACAAACACCAAAACATAAATTGGAACATAGTAACAGTTCTCTAAGTTTATAAAGATGAGATTTTAGCAATGTGAACTCGCTGCTGAGGAAGCTCTCCCAAGGCTTGTCAGGGTAGGAGTCAGAATTGCAAACAATAAGATACAGTTACATAAAGGCAATTTCTTCAAGACCACAGGCAACGCATAAAACAAGCTTTCCTATAAAACAAGTTTTATAGGAACAAGTTTTATATTGTTCCTAAAACAAGTTTTATAGGAAAGATACGCTGATTCTGAAATCTCTTTTTATGAAATGAATAACAACAGTTGCTGTTCTGGAGGATTTTTATTACATCTAATCCCTTTCATGTAACACTAGCTTTCAGCTGCTTAGCAAATGCAGTTTGCTCTGGTCAGAAACTAAAGATCTTTATTGACCACTGCTTTAATTCTGCCAGTAGTTTCTTTCTAAAATCTTTTATTGTTCTAGTTTTCACCATGTAAAATTAATATAATTGTTTGATTCTTTTCAAAAGGAACAAAAATTCAGAGGGCTTAGACTGACCACTAAAATGGCACTGTCTGTGCACAGAGGGCTTACCAACACTCCCTGACCAGTAATTCTGAACACACACCTGTAGCACAGTTATAAAAGTCTCTCTCTTATATATATATATAAATATTTGTATCCTGCAATAGTTACTACTCATGGAAGTAAATAAAAAATATATTATAGTGAGAGATAAATTCATGAAATGTGAAAACTATGGCCAGCTTGGCAGAGCTGGATGTAAAGTGTCCTTTGACACTGAGCGTGAGTCATAATTTAAATTCAGCAGATGTCACTGTGATGGTGGCAGTAATTCTACACGCAGATAAAAACTGGGGGAAAAAAAACAGCAGAAAAAAATCCACACATGTGCAGTGCACTATATGCTCTACTATATGCCTGTTTATGCTATCTATATTAAAAAAAGAAAGAAAAAAAAACAAGGAAAACAAGATGATATGATACCTCCATCATTTCCAACTTGTCAGGATATGCAAGGTCCCCCGGAGCAGGCTTGTAGCCTATGATATCAGTCTGAATGTAAATGTGTGTCCTGTAGACAAGACGCTCTTGAACATCCTCTAACATCTGCTTGACACCAGCAGCAAAAGCACCCAGTTGCTCAGCTGGAAAAAATAAGAAAACCAGAATTCATTAATGTCACTCCAAAAATAAATTTAGGGATGTAAAGGTTTCAGTAGCTCATACAGAACTGCCACAAAAGTGATCTGCTGCAGAAGTCAGAACATTTCTGCAACAGCAGCAAACAAAAAACGCACTTGCGACGCATCAGGAACTACAGAACTTCATTTTGCAGTCACGTCAGATCTCAAGCTTTCAGATTCAGGAAATTCAATTTCAAACTGAAAACCTCAGCCAGAACATTACGTATTTTGATTATTTGAAGGACTTATCAGAACTAGCAGCATAAGAGCAGCATTTCTACCTATACGCTTCTTTGTTTTCAGCCTACCCAGTGTTGTTAGGGTGCCTGTCAAGAGCTGGCAGTCAAACTCATCTATGTATCCCAAAAGAGATGGTGACCCAAAGCAGCTCAAGTCCAGCTTCAGAAATATTATATCAGCCTAAACTTAAGGAGTAGAAAGTGTCTCCTTAAGATGAGCCTAAAGACCATGCTACACCTTCTTCTTCATTCCCAAGAGTGCTACAATTGCACTCCAGGCAAATGAACAATTCATGATACTTCAAAAGATGCAGAGATGAGGTCTCTGCTGTAGGCACCAGCTATCAAGTATGAATTACTTTACATAAAGCTAAAACATAATCCTTGAAAATACAGACCTTTCTACTATAAACAGAGAAACAACTTAATGCAAATAAACTTAACATCATTGAGATGTTTAAGGTATTAAAAGGTATTGTATTTTTAATACAAGGTATTAAAAGGTATTGTATTTTTAATACAAAACAAAGAAGCACAAAAAAATTCAGAGAGTTTGCCTATGTGATTCAGTAACACTTTTTATCACCAACTAGGAAGACGGTTTAAAGCCATCAGAGTCCACCTATGAGTTACCATTGTTCTGTACGTGATCTTCAAGCATCTCATTCTTGAGAATCCCACAGAGTTCAGAGAGAGTCTCCAAGTGAATAACGTGGATGATCATCGGCCTCAGAACATCATACAATGAAAGACACAACTTCTCCAAGAGTTCACTGGGAAGAAAAAGTAAAACACAACCCCGTAAGCCACACTTTCAGGACCTCAAAGAGTCAAACTAAAGTCATATCACAGACATTTATAAAGTGAGGGCAATAAAGCAAAGCAACAGAGTATCATAAAGGTCCTAGAAAACAGTTGTTTAAAAAAAATACCTTCCTGAGAGGTCTTTTACAGAATACCAATTGCTTAAAATTGGGAGGGAGTTTTGAATTCATCAACAAAAAGACACTTGATCTATCACAATGGAAAGATGCTGCAAATTGATTTTCCTGGCTTCTTCATACAGGAATGTGCCTGCTAACCTCCCATCTACATCCCCATTCCCCCCTTGAGCAAAGTCTCATCCACCTCCAAGTATTCAACAGTTTAACAGAACCAGGAACACAGGAAGAGCAGCTCGGTAACCTCCTCGAAGTATTGTCAGCATCTACTGTAGCTATTCCTGGCATTCATCTTCCAACCTAATTCCAGTTATCAAACCAGAGCAGAACACACCAAACATTCCCACTCCCATTCACTTGTTCATTTGTTCATATTCATTTCTTGTTTTAAAGGAAGTTTACGTAAGGATATGGAATACTCTAGGTCATTTTTGTCATTCTGAATGCTCTGTTTACTAGTTATCTATCAGCTGAAATGCTCTCAATATTATCTGAAAGTTTAAATGACCTCCCTGTTTAAACAGGGCAGTATCAAACAATAAATTAAGTACTTGGCACTTTCATTTTTTTAAAAAAAAGTACAATTTGGTGCAGTTTCTATGCTTGAAAAAAGAACCCCAAGATCATCAAAATCTGAAACATAGTAAAAGTAACTTTTTTTTTCTTGCTGTGTCTCAACAGGCACCTACTGCCTGTTCAATACAGGTATATTTGCCATATCACAGTAACTGCTATTATCACAGCACAGTAAATACTAGATGCAGTAAAATAAAAACCAGCATGTACCACCTACTCCAGTTTTGGTGTCGGTTTTGTGAAGAACTCATTGTAAAGCTGGTGTTCATCTTGGCAAACATGGACCATAAAGGCACAACCACTTCGTACCTGTGTTCAGAAAAATACATATGCTTGATTACTACATGTTTTTCCGTGCAATACTACATGATTTTCCCTGCAGCACTACTAAGGGAAGCATTATAGATATTATCACTACAGCTGGAATCAAACTGAAATTCTATGAATTTCAGAATTACTGAGATAAGTATCAAGCTAAGGACTTAAAAGATTTTATTAGTCAAAAAGGAGCTCATTGTGCTTTTTTATGCATTAGGATAAAATTTAGGTAAACACAATTTACGTTTTTGCAAACACCCCTTTGTGAGGTTTATTTCTAAACAGATACAGAAGAACTTTCCACAAAAAAAACCCATCTTTCACAATACTGAAGATGTAATCTTCCAGAAAACACACAACATTACCTGAAAATACTCACAAAAAAATCACGTGATTTTAAGCCATAAACAAAGTTGACACTTCTATAATGATAAGTGTTTGAATTGAACACATGAATTTTGCTGGGAGAGAAACAAAACAAAACAAGAAATACGACAACACACCCAAACAAGACTACTGCTTTTCCTACCAGAGCACAATGATCCCTGTTGTTCTGACTGGTTAATTCTGTGACGGTGCTTGCGATACTTGGACCAAGTAGAAGCTCCCTCTGGTCAAGGTAACACTGATGGATTTCATTGAGAAGCTGTTGATACCTGACCAAAGAAACAAGAAATTACATTAAGAGGAAATTTCCTCTTTCGAATCTACAATTATGTAGACTTGATTTTTTTAAAAAATCAATTTTTAAAACTTTCTATTTATATTTTTTCTTTAACGAAGCACATGTTAGACACGATTTTTTAATAAAATATGAAGACTCAAAAGTTAAAATATTGAAAATAACTTATGTAGACATACTCACTCTGGCATTTTCTCAGATCTTTGCTCTATTTGCTCAATAAGAGTCTACTCAAAAAAAGAGAGAAAACAAAGAATCATCAAATTTCTCTCATCAGTAGAATTAGTTTGGAAAATTCTTTTTTTCATGAACAACTAATATGCACTGATCTTTGCACTCACTAGTAATGAATTCAAAATCCATTTTCATGCATTCCTTATTAGCAACTGGTTACCAGTTTACTTACTCTGACTTTGGGAGCAGCTGCTCTGAATTTTACATAAAACAGCGTGAAGGCATTGTCAGTATTTGGCACAGCTGAAGGATCCTAAAAGGAGAGATTAACAATTCATTAGAAAGGAAAAATGCTGCATTTGGCTTCTAGTTACAACTGACTGAGAAAATTAGGCTCTAAAACAGGAAATGGGTTCTTCACATTTACATTGGCAGCTGCATTACTCTTCCCTGCTTTCCGACCAGAAAGCCAGACGTGTTTCAGAACTTGGATAAAACCAGATGGAAGAACAAAGCCAAAAACTCAAGCAAAGGTCTCAACACCTTCAGTAATTACTAAGCACTTCCAGTAACTACCGAATTCTCTGCTAGAGATAACAGCTTTCCCTGGACCTGCTACATCACCACGTTAAACAGAAAAACAAAACAGTTGAGATGAAATATGGCAGAAATCTCTCTTTTATGCACCAGTCTCAGAGTTGAGAAGCAAGTTGCAAGTGGAGCACCAGGTTTTGAGGCAGTGGCCCCTGCAGCTACTCAACCACCCACTATAGCTACCCCTTAACCTTACTCAGCATACAGAGAAACCACATCACCTCCCTCCCTTTAAACACAGCAAGGACAGAAAAACTCCTGCACCTTCCCACACTCCTCCTTGCATCCTACAGTCCACTTGACCATTCCCTTCTACCAACACGGATCAGAATTCCCAAATGCTCACACGTTAGAAATAATAAAGTCAAGCTAACAAATGCCAACACCTCACCAGCCCCTCTGCAGTCCTCACCAGACTGCTGTTTTCCAATAGGAAATCAAATCACATGACTGCAGCTGACATCTTGCTTGGGTCAGTACTCCAGTTCCAGCAGAAACAAACACTGGATATTTCAATCCAATATGCAAAACCCATGTAGACAGCAAAGGGAGGGTCATCTGCCTCCTACGAGAGCTTTTCTCCTTGCCTTAGCAGCTAGGTAGCAGTTCAAACCCAGAAGTGAGAGGTTTAATTACTTTCTGTAGACATCCTTAGAGATATCCAGCCTCACCCGAACTCAACTCGGCCACAGCAACTCACTGGCATCAAGCCAAGTCCTGCATCTACAGCAGTGAGTTATTATATATATATATATTTTAAAAGTATCAAACAAGAGAAACATTCTGGGCCAATTAACCAACATCTTTAATCAAAGAGTATTTTTTTATCAATCGTTTCTAAGAATGCTAAGAACTCTTTATTTGTATCAGTGCTCAATTTTAGCACTTTTCGTTTTCACTGATTATCCCTCAGGACACTTTGAGTTTAAATAGGCCCAAACACAAAGTATATAATGATTTGTTGGGGAAAAAAAAAATAAAGGAAAGCTAGAAAGAGAACTCACTCTCCTGCTTATTCTCTACTAAGATACTGCAGCATGATTAATAAAGTTTTGAGGAGACCAAAAAAATCCCTACTCCCACTGGAATTAGTGGGAGCCAAGGACCTACCTCTTCCAAAGGGCTCTCAAACATCATTGTTACTATTTTACAACTCACTGAAAGATACTGCCCAAACCTGCAGGAACTTGCCACGCTCTGCACCCAGCACAAACCACTGCATCATCCCAAAGCACTTGCCATCTCATACCAGGAGAGTCCCATTTTGAAACAGTTCTTATCCTACAATTTCCCTGTTTTTGCTTTCATCCTTCAAGCATTCCCTGCAATGCTCCATGTCCCCTGAGCTGCATCTCCAAAACAGAACCCCCACAGAGCCACTTTTTTTTTTTCCTTTTGCACAGCATTTGGCAACACTGTGGTATGGAGGACAGGACTGACTCATTTTCACATGCAATTGCTGACATCTCCCTTCTTCCTCCCTCTTTCCCCCAGAAAAAAAAGAAGAAAACTGTCTGTACTGGAAGAGACATCTGAGAACAGCTCCAGTTCCTGACTTTCCTTACCCTTTTCATTAACTGGCTTGTGAGGTTCTGTAGTGTGTTCACAGTGTATGTCTTCATCAGGTGCATAGCTTTAGAAAGGCATTGCTTAAACTTCGTCAAATATACAGGATAGTCTTTAAAGTTTGGCTGAAAGAAAAGACGTAAAAACTTTAAATATTATCAGCAAAATATTGCTGCAAATTTTATCACAACTTCAGATACCTGTTTACTAGCTAGAAATGCTGTTTTGTACAAACTAAAAGTGGTATTTTGTAAATATCAAGCAGAACAAAAGCATATGCAGTTAAACACGTCAATGGTATATATACCAATACTCTCTGTATTTAACAGAGAGTATGTTACAGGAAAAGAAAAGCAAAAAATGTGAATATATGGTTTCAAAGCAGTATTAAGATTTAACTAAAAGCAATACAGAATTACTTACATGTGAAGAAATATATGCAATACAATCATCGAGCTTAGCCAGCATGGGAATGAATCCTTCACTGTTCACAGACAGCGTAGGGGAGTTCAATTTCTTTGGAAAACAGGACAATCCATCAATTACAAGGAACCAAAACAGCTTACTTTGACATCAAGTTTTAAAGATTGGCATATTTGCACATTTTAAAACTATTAAAAGTGAAATATTACTTACTGTGCTAACATTTTCCAGCTCATTAAAATAAGAAAGTTTTTGCTGGATGTTTTCAGCCAGGTCAACAAGCTCTGACTATTCAAAAACAATAAAAGAGATGATTAGTAACCCAGCAAGCAGTTTATACTTTAAAAATGAAGTCTTCACCCTCCCTCTCCTCAAACTCATGACATAAAAAGTTCTCAGGACACCCATGTTAAGTAGCTCTAAATAACCTGCATCCAAATAAATACAATAAATAAAAGTGTAGATTTTCAGGGACAGTAACTTTGAAGGCTTTGATTTACTCGCAGACCCTGCTTCTCTGTGCACCAGCACAGCCCCCCTGCAAGTGCCCAGCATCCAAAGGGTCACAAACCACGTAGAACAAACAGTGAGGACGGGCCAGAACTGTGGGGACTCTATTTTAGACTGCAGATTATTGTCTTAATAAAAATTCCTCCCAGCCTCCAAAACGAAGGACTTCACAGCCGATTTCAAACATGTAGCTAGTGTTTCTAACACTGACTTAAAAGTTTAAGGCCTTTCTTTTAGTAGCTAACGTGGAAAACTGGTGGTTCTTCCATAAAGATGGACAGTTACTACAGCAGCTGGGGATGAAGGCAGCACATACTAACAACAATTCACTTGTTTCCATTTTCCAAAAAGGCAACTAAAGTATCTTCTCTAGCACCATCCTATTATATTTCTTTCTTTTAAATATACATCTGCTCTGATTCCACTGTGGTTTACAGGCTTATTCCTAACTACTAAGAATGTGATATTTCTATCATTTATTAAGTGTATTTGTATCATCTTTAAAAGGATTCAATAGTTCATGAGTAAAGACAAAGATGACAACAAAGTCCTGTGATTCTCACACACACAGAGAAAAAAATATGAGTGATTTTGAAGCAGGATCTTTTATGATCACAAGCTCTAAAATGCTCAGATTTTGATACATGCTGGATCACGCTTCAAGAAACCTTATGCTACTAACATTTTGAGGCCTAAAAAAGTCATCTTTGTTACACTGCTGTTGGAACAGCTCATGAGGAGAAAGTATCTAGGAGAGATAAGCTGGTAATGTAAAAAATAAACCTTTCTTTCTGAACCAAAAAAACAGCTCAAAGTACTCCCATAAACAATATGAATTACTAATCTCAATACAATTTGCATATGTTGGTATAAATTAGAGAAGTCCTCATTCACTAGGCAGCCTTCTTGATTAAAGTGTAAATCAAAAGGTACTGAACATTTTATGTGGAGAAGCTCCCGGGAACCCTCCCAGCAAAGATTACCTGCTCCTTCAGAAGTTGTTCACAGGCTTCATGTAGTGTTCCTGTCTTTGTGGACACAAAGAGATACTGCTTCTGCAGTGATTCCAGGTGCTGAAGGGCACTATTCACGTCATTCAGGATAGCATCACACTGCTCCTGAAAGCCAGACAAGTAATCCCTCATCTGTCTAGAGAAAGAGAACCAGAAGGTAACAAAGGTCAAATTTCACTTTTTCTATTTGCAGCCTCAGTGGCCTCCAGTGACACCGACAATATCTTTCCCTGAGAGAAACCAATTCCAGGAAAATAAAAGGACCACGTGCATGAAGAGAGCCTGCACAATAAGCAGGCACTTCCTGACCTGCAGAAGTCACAGGGTTTTGAAGCAGCCACTGCAGTAACTCTGCTTCCCTGACATTCCTGATACCAAACCTGCCCAGAGAGAGGCAGGTGCCCTGTAACCAGTTTAGAGATCACTTTGTGCTATCTAACACTGACCACAGCATTGACCACTGCAGGTCACTGCTAACAGCTGAATTCTATCTGCTTTGCTTTCAATAGTTTATAACTTGGTTTCTTCTCCTATACAAGCCTCAATTTTCACTTAGAAATGACTTTTACTTTTCTTAAATAGCTATAATTAACCAGAGGGTTCAAAAGTTATCATTCGGATGGAAAGAGGTTGAAGTGAAACTGAAATCCTTCTGAATTAAGACTCAGTATATAATGTTACCAAGCCTGTCTAAAGCTCAGCGCAGAGACAAGCTCTAAATTCACAGATTCACAGAATATTTAAGGTTGGAAGGGACCTCTAGAGATCATCTAGTCCAACCTTCCTGCTCAAGCAGGCACACCTACAGCATTAAAAGTTTAAATTAAAGTTTAAAAAATGATTGTTAAATATTTGCCAAGCGAACATTTAAATATGAAGTACTATAAATTGAGTTAACTCCTACATGTCAGGTTAAACCACTGTGTTATACCTTGCCATGCACAAAGCAGCGTGTGAAACACAGCTCTGCCTTGTGCAAACCAGTGTACAACAGGCAGAGAATTAACTCATTTTAACTCATCTTACGCCTGTCCCTCTGGCCTCCTGCAGATGATTTCAGATTTGCCATCCTACAAACCAGTCTGCAGCCGTTATACAGCAAAGTATCCACATGCATTACAAATGCCAAGTGGCCTGGTGTCCCTTTTTTAAGGTTGCTCATGATCCAATGAGCAATAGAAGCTTTGGTTGGGGAAATACCATGTATGCAAGCATCAAAACAAGAGGAGAAGAGGCAGACTAGAGCAGAAAAACAGCACAGGGTTTCTTTGTAGCCAAGGGCAAGTTCTTAAGACTGCAAAATATAGGCCAGTTTTCCAAAAAGCCACCAGCAGATTCAGCTGGGCCCCTTGGCCTTGCTCACAGGGGACTCCTGAGGACCCACCCAACACAGCTGCAAAGGCCTCGCTGGCCGAGCGGAGCCGTGCGAGGAACGCCGGGAACGCAGATGGAGCCGGCGCTGGTCTAAACAGTGACAGTGGAAATCACTGTCACCTGCACCCGCCTGCCAGAGTCCCCATCAAAGGAGGCCACGTGGACAGCGGCCGTTGCAAAGGCACAGAATATCCCTACCTCTGCCTTTGCCTACAGCCCAACCCTGTGTCAAAATTAATTTCTGTTTGTCTTAATAAATCATCAGGTAGGTCAGAGAGAAATCTGTGTTCCTTTTAACTGCCCTGTCTCAAGGTCAGCAACCTCCAGGATGGGGGATATAGCTGTGGGAAGGAAATACTTCAGCTGCTCCAATACATTTCACAGAATCACAGACCAGCTGAGGTTGGAAGGGACCTCTAGAGATCATCTAGTCCAACCCCCTGCTCCAGCAGGGACACCCAGAGCACGGGGCACAGGGCGGCATCCAGGCGGGTTTGGGAGATCTCCAGAGAAGGAGACTCCACAGCCTCCCTGGGCAGCCTGTGCCAGGGCTCTGGCACCCTCACAGCAAAGAAGTTCCTCCTCACATGGAGATGGAACTGCCTGTGTTGCAGCTTGTACCCATTACCCCTGGTGCTATCACTGGCCACCACTGAGAAGAGCTTCCTGATGATTTAATTTGAACGTGTGCAAACATCATGCAGTCTCTGAGGTTTACATTGCCAACAGTGAAAGCGAATGAGGAAGAGCATATACCTGTACTTTGCACCTTCATCTTGATCCATCTGCGTCTGCAGTTGGGCAAACCACGAGAAGAACTGAAAGAGATTTTATGCAGTCAACAGCAATAGATCTCACATACAATGAATCAGGAAAAAATAAAATCAGATGTATAAAACAGAAATTTAGAAGATGAACAGCATCATTTCTTTTGCTAAATACAGTGAGATTTAAGAGCTTAATTGCTAAGCAAGAATACTGAAGAATAACTCCACCACTAAGCAAAAATAGGAAAAAACGAATTTCATTTGTTCTTATTTGTGCAGAAACAAGGCTGTCATATTAGGAAAAAAATGTCTATTACAAGCAACATCACACTGTCTTACCATGAGCAACATCTACTGAAGTGATGCCTTACGACTGCACTCAAAAAAGGGAAAGCCTCTCTTCCCTAAAAGCTTCCTCCTTTTTCCCCCCAAGTTTCTTCTTACACCTTGAAGACCGACAAAATAATTTCACTAACCCACCAAAAGCTAAGGAGGAGAGACAGAAACTCCTGCTCTCTCAGAATGGTTAGGGTAGCTCTGCGGGTATCGAGCACCACTCACCTGCTGGGCCGTCTCAATTCTCTCGCCCTCCATGCCCAGCGTGGCAAATCCCTTCAGGAGAACGTCCTCCGTGGAGTCCGGCAGCGCGGCCGTCAGCGCCACGGCGAGCGACGGCGCCGTCAGGCTGCCCAGGTCCTCGATGGGGAGCTGCCCGGGGAAACCCACACACTCAGTTACATTTAGATGGTGTTTTACGCCAGCACGTGTTTGCCCAAAGAACTGAGCCGAGCGCACGGGCACCTGGCACGCTGAAGTGAACATTCACCCAGACAACTGCACTAAAGTATCTGAATACATAAGAATTCACACCTCGTGTAGAACAGGAACCTGCCACTTGTTTGCACTGTGCCACGTCACCACAGCACAGGAGCTGTCACATGTTGCTGCTGGGTATTCAGAAAAGCTCAAGACTTAACCATGCTACAGTTTGTTCAGGATGTTCATGTTCCTTCAAGCATTTCTGAATGAAGAAGTTCAGCTAAAAAAAAAGGCTCTTCCAGAAAGGCTCTGCGGAGTGGGAGCTACGAGCTACATCATTTGTTTTTAAGCAGGAAAAATACAGCGAAAGTAACTTTCAAGTAATCTTGTTTTAATGTAATTAGAAAGGGTTTATTAGTTTATATTGCAAAAGAAATTTCATATTGCAAGAAATCAAATACTGTTACATAATTTTAATTAGCAAAATACTCCTTGGTTCCTTGACAATTAAAGGGAAATTTTCAGCATTGTTGAGAACGTTAGTAACAGAAAACACTTAAACCAAATGATAATAGAAAGAAATCTTTATATCTCCCTAGACAATTACACACTTTGTAAAATATTTGCTTAGTAAAATATTCATTGCCTAAGAATGCTATTCTGCTAAAGAAAGAACGATCAGTATTTCATGTATTTGAGTACCTGACCTATCTTTTTCAGTGTCCTTGTCTACTCCCCCAAAATGTTTCCGGGTGAAAAATAAATGAAGTCAGGATGAAGAATCGCCAGTAAGAACTGTGATTTCAGCCGGATTTCCGGATGCAGAAAATGAGCAGGCAGCACCCTAATGTGAAGCCAAGAACTGGTTGTCTTGGAAAGAGAGAAGCAGAGCTCGTTTTCTTCTGGAAAAGCCGAGTGCTGCCACCCCAATCCACTTCTGTGGGAGCCAAGCCAGGCTGCAGCCCTCAACATTTCCGACATTCCAGCTGTGCTAAGTGTAAACCACAGGGACTGCCCTGTTGCAGAGGTGCTTTAGATCCTTAAGGACGCGCTCCAGCGGCTGAACATCCTCCTAGGGTCACTCTGGGTGCTGCCAGCACTGACACACACAGGGACAAGTGGCCTGCAGCAGAAACTGGAACTCCTGGGGAGCAGGACAGGCTCCGGAACCACACGGATGTGTTTCCAGAAAGAAAGGCTTCACCCTGGCTATTGAAACTCTGAAACAGACCCTGGCATCCACCTTGGTTAACTTTATGGTCTGTAACTTACATCCTGATCCTATTCAAACAGGAAAGCTCTCCTGCAAAGACGCAAGTCACTAAGATATAAGGCATGCTTTCCGAAAGCCAATCCAGTACTTCCCGGAACAAGGAACTAGTGGATCTTCAGCACGCTACTGACAGCTTAACAAGCCTCTTTTTCTTTTGGTAGAATACTTTTTTTTTCTCATTACTGAATATATTCAGAGAGGGGTTTGATGAGAACTGTAAGTAATTAGTAATGTTTCACAACAAGATAGCAGGATATTCGTGGCACTTAAAGGCACTTTGCTATTATCTAGAGGAGCCAAAGGGCAGAGGAAATGCTTAATACAAACGCACACCTCGAGACTGCACTGGGCTGCTTAAACAAAAGCCGCTTTCCCCTCACATTCGGTTACCTCCCCGCTCGTCAAACAGGCGTTTCCCGGCCCGGGGCGCCACAGTGCCGCTATCGGCGTGGCTGCCGACTCGCCAGCGCTTGGCCGCCCCTCGCCGGCAGGCAGGACAGCGGGAGGCCGCATCGGTAACGCAGCAGCTCCCGGCCTCGCGTTAATATTTTATAACCGCGGGGCGACGGAGGATTCATCCGCAGCAACAGCGGCCGGGGAGGCTTCACCCGGGCTGCGCGGGGAACGCGGCGCCGCTCACGGACGGGGACGCGGCTGCGCGGCGGCCCGCGGCCCGGCACCGGGGGTCGCCCTGGCGCCGCGCTCACCTCGGGCGGCACGGGCAGGTCCTCGGCTGCCGCCTTCACGTCGAGCACGGAGCGGCTCTGGCGCTCGCTGAGCGGCGCGGCCGGCTGCGGGCGCCGCTCCCAGCGGCCCAGCCGCTCCGCCGCCTCCGCCATCATGGCGCGGGCGGCGGCCGCACTTCCGGCCGCGTCCAACGGCGCCCGTGGCGCGGGCGCCACGCTGCTTCCGGGGCGGGGCCAGGGGGGCGCCACGGAGGGGGCGGGGCAGCCGCGAGGGCGCCCCCTGGCGGCCGGGAGGGCCTGCGGCTCCCGCTTCCCCCCCCCTGCAACCTCCCGGCCGCCTCTCCCCCTCCCTCCCTCCCTCTATCCCGGTCTTCCACGGCCTCCCTTCCTTCATCTCAAAACGATTCAACGCCAACCACTCAGCGATTTGAGAGAGATGGTACAGAGCTTTAAAACTTTTAATAGGCTCCAATGCAAAAGACACCGTTTACATCCTGTACAAAAATATCTACAAATATTTCTATTAAAGCTTTTTCCTTGCAGCTGTTTCTATGCTAGGTGCAAAGGAGCAGAACCATATACATAGAAAAACTTTTTGTGCCTTAGAAAGTGCCCCGTGCATTTCAAAAACGTCACTGTGGGAATTCAAAATTAGCAACTAAGTGACACTATCGACTCTGAATTTGCGCTAAGATTAAATGGAATGTACAATTAAGCAATATGCTTTAAGAGTCACTTTAATACACTACAACAACATCACAAGAGTGCAAATCCATGCACCCTTTGCTCCCTCCTGCAACAGCAGGAGGAATATACCACATCGTGCACCTCATGTATTCCCTTGCCGGGCATTCAACCTAGTCTCGACAGTAACTCCCCAACCAGGGGGGTAGGAGCTTTGACACACACTTTTAAATCAGGTACTGTACTAAGGAGTTGCTCTTTCTGCAAAAGAAATTTATAACCTGCACGTAACAGCAACTTGAGCTTGCTTGCTAAAAAGTGCTTAAAACCCACCGGGTTTTTGGTTTTTAAATGCGAGAAGCCTTTGTATTGAACTTGCCTTTCTCTGGGAGTTTTAAGCTTTGTGTAGACACCTGCATTAGTCAGCCATGGCTACTCAGTGCAAAACTTGCATCTTTCAGAAGATACAAAACAGACATTCACAGTTACAGGATGTTTTTCCCAACAGAAGAAGCTCAGAAGGCTTCTCTGAGACAGAGATTTGAAGTTCTGACCAGTCCATACTCACTCTTAAATAACAATTTGAATACGAATGTTCAAGAACCTCTTACACTGAAAGCTAAGAGCAATGCGTTTGAAAACGCAACTTTCCTTGAACTGTACAAGACAGACAATGTTGCCACCACACTTGCAAATGAAGCCAGGTTTCTCCAGCAGATTATGTTGGTATCTTGGACTTACAGACTTTGCTCACAGCTCAGCTCTAAAGCCAGCAGCAGATTTTTTCTGCAGCAGGTATTTGGCTAAGCAAAGAGATGCCTTGTTACACATTCATTTCTAATCTTTGGAGCTTTGAAACAGCCGTTTTTACAGCCACAGGTATTACACATTCAGAAGACAGCAGTATCCCAGTTCCTTGGTACTGCTCATCTACCTTCGGAGAAACATTCTGTCCCTTTTAAAAAAGGCAATGTAAAAAACCATCAAGAACACTTTCGAGCTGCAATATTCACATCCAAGAGCACTTCAGGAGTTGTCAAAGTATTCCATCAGCTTTGGTTGAGCCTTGGAAGCAGTGCACATCATTCAGCGACCCGCAAGAGCATTGTTACAGGAGCCAGCGTTTGCCTGGACGTCTCTCCTAGGCCGTCCTAATTTGTAGCATCTCAGGCACTAAGAGAAGGCACTTGAGAGCAATTTAAGCTACTCTAAATTCATATAGTGCATGAGAATTCGAAACAGTTCAACACATCAGAAGTCCAACTTCTTCAGCTGTTCATATGTCAGGAAGAACTGGGGCAGTTCATTAAGGAAAAGTTCTCTGTTTATGTAACACTCGGTGCAGAGGTGCCACAACATTCACCAGAGGACAGTGACTTGTGTGTGAAATTCCATTCTGCTGTCACTTCCCTTGCAGATCACGTGGCCAGTTGACCATTTTTATTCTGCAAGACCCTGTAGACCAATGAAGCCTGCGCCAGGGCACTGCAGTATTTCAGAGGTTTCAGGGCTAGTGAATCCAGTTTCTTTTCCACTCCCTATTCCTATAGATTTTAGGATAACTGAGGCAGCCAGAGGCCATATTACGCAAGCACTTGGGCTCTGAGTCACTCTGCTTTACTAGCCAAAAACATGTTCACATACAGCAAGAACATTCTTACCATCAACTCACTTAGCATCCAGCTGCCTAGAGCCCCCAGGAAACAGATTAACACAGTAAAAATTGAGACACCTTGAAATACAAAAGGATTTTATGACAAACTGCCAACAGTTTTACTCACTCTGGAAATAAATCCTCTTCTAACTAGTCTGGTAGGAAATGGAGACAAAGTTGTTTTGCAAGGAGGTAATATCCCAAGATTTACCCTGTGGAATGCATTCTATGCACGGAATCTGCCTGGAAGCAGTTGACTGGGGAAACCAAATAAGTAAGATTCATTAAAAACAGGAACATTTATGGTAACATAACTTCCACATGAAACATTTTGCTCAATTATCTACTTGCACTCTATCGCTAGCTTGGAGTTCTCAGACACTTCTGCAAAGGATACAATAATATTCCAAGGACCAAGTCTCAGCCAGTTTGGCCAAAATCCTTTGTACAAAGCAAGGAAGCCTTCATTCTTCCATGTCTGGAAAAAGCAAGAACAAGTTAGCATTTACTGTCTAGATTAGTACAGAGTTCTGCACCATAGGTAAGAGGAAACTGAACCACTGAAGGAAGCACTAGAGCCACTAAATCTTACTGTACCTCGTGTCTACTCAGACAGGGAAGGTTTTCACTTGCAGTTAGCAAGCCCTGCAGCATGGGGGTACCCCAGCAGAGAAGCTGCTACCCAGTCTGAATTTGATACTCAGTCTCAATTTGTCCAAGTCACATCCTTGGACTCCTGCATTCAGAACCTTACACAGAGCTGTATTTAAGTCTGCTGCTTATGCTAGGCATTTGTGAAACACATTTCAACATTTCTTGTAGACTTCAGAGTCACACTGGGCAAGTTAAAACACTTACATCAATGCCTCTTCTTGTTTCCTAAGCCAGTCATTTCCAACACTCAGAGAAACAGTTTGTACACATTCATTCTACCTCTTGCTTTAAATCAAAGCAAAAAGGAAAGGACAGAAGGGGACAGCCAGGTCTACACATTCAGCCAGCATGAGAGTCTTAGAAGACAGGAAAATAATGTGTGCCAGCAGCAAGATAAGTGAATGCAAATTTGGTTTTGTTCCCCCCATCCCCAATCCCAAACTTGGCTCAGATTTTTTGCAGAAATTCACTGCAGCATCCCAGAGAAAGGAGACAGGCATCCAGCCCCTTCTTGCTATTCACTCTCCATTTGGCTGGCAGCATGCTACAGCACTGCATAGCCAAGAAACGCTATTGGCAAAGGAGTGTAATAGCAAATATCGGAAACAGCCTTCAGATCCCTTGTAGAACAGTGATTCTTCATATTCAGAGCTTTTGTTTTCCTGCAATTCAGCTCACTAACTGCCAAAGTCACAGTCATCTTCCTGGTAGAACTGGCCTCCCTCCACACCATCACGTAGCAGACACTCCCTAACCACTAACTGAAGCTCCAGCTTGAAACAGGAAGAGGTCCTGAGCACAACTTCCCCATAAAAAAGGCTTGAAGTTTGTGTTCTCTGCTGTGTTTCTAGAGGGAAGCTTCACCAGCAGGGTTTTAACTCTAGCCCAACTCCTTTACAAAAAAGGGTTTCCAATTTTCTCAACCAGAAACGGTCAGTTTTTTTGCAACTGTCTCCCCATAGAGTCCTAGATCTCTTGCTCTTCTTTGTCCAAACATTTCCAGCTTCCTACCCACTCTTTTCCATATAGAAGACCATCCTGCTCTCTTGACATTGCCTTTGTCTATACTAGGCTTTCCATTACCTAGAGCGCAAAAGAATGCTACCATATGCCCCAGACAACTGTTTCATACTTCGCTCTCCAACAACACTCTTTCAGTGTTCTAATGTTGTTTCAAACTAAGACAATACTACCCAGAAATTGTTTTCTTACGAGAGTACCAGAAGGAAATAAAATCCATCTGTAACACATGTGCTTCTTCATCTCTCTTCCTGCACTTCTATCAGGACAGTAGCTACATTTTAAGCTAAATGAATTATTGGCTCTATAGCTTGAGTGCTGGATAAACAGTAGTAATTTTTTTTTTTTTTCTTTTTTAGTTTACATGGATTAATTTCTAGAAAACTTTAAACCATTTCAAGTTCCACACAAATTCTTGCTTGATGGTACAAGCTTCCACTTCGGTTAGGATGCAGATGGAACTTACTTGTAACAAGCAATCCAGAGTACCCTTGTAGTTTGTGTGTGTCCCACTTTGTCGGCTTTGGTTCATCATGCGCGTCCTTACAACGTCAATTGGGTTAGATGCCACGGCTCCAGCTAACCCACAAGTAAAACTCGAGCTAGTGAGAGACAGCAGTAAGGAAGTTTGATCCATCACATTTGAAGTTGCATAAGAATTTCCCTAAACAATGCCATATTTTATGCTTTTAATACACCTAATTAAAAGTTACAGCACATAATAGTTGTTAAACCTATCTTCCATTTACTAGAAAGCATCATTCTGAAGCTTTGTTATATCCTGTATCATATGCAAAGTCTATATCGAAACAGATGTTTATGCATCTAAGAAAAACAAACATTTTAATCAAGCTTTCCTCCAAGCTCAATTTGTACAACTTAATGGTTCAGACCACCTATAAAACTAAATTTCATTTTGGATTTTTCAAAATGATTAGCTTCCCTGCTATTTCAGATGCTACTGTATTAAGAAACATCAGAACTATATTTATATATGGACTGATAAAACAGAAGATAAAACAGCAATCCAATTCCATCTTCTGAAGAGTTCAAAATTAAAAGATGCATCTTCTACAGGGAATTTTGAGCTATGCAACCAAGCTAGGTAGGCAGTTATAGCCATAACTTACAGGAAGTGAGTATACACTGTGTCTCCCATAAATCCAGACATGATTATGTGCTTCTTGGTAAGATCATATACTGGCAGCTCCACTCCAACGACAATAGCTGCTCTCTGTGCAGTCAGGGATACTCCCTAGCATAAAAGGTACAGCTGAAGATGAAAACTCTGTGCACTTTCGTTAGCTTTAATACAAATCAAAACATCACAAATGTTTTAAATTCAAAAACTACTTTAATCTAGTGTAGGTCTCGCATGCGCTCACTAAACATGCAGACTGAAATAGGTAAAGCTCCTTCCCCACACTGAATGGCCGAGTAGCATAAATAATCTAATGCTACCTCTCTGCTTAGGCTTAGATTTTCTTACATTAATGGTAAACTAAGACCTCACCCAGGTGCTACTTCCTCCCCTTACTTAAGTGACTTTAGTGATAAGAAAGATGAAAGGAAAAGCAAAATGTATCACTGAACTTCAGGGAAAAATACCTTAGAAAACCACTTCTCACTTGTTTCAAAACAGCATTCCATTACAGTCAGTGACCGTATGACAACTGAAGAGCTTTAATCGGCCTAAGAAAACCTATAAGACCGAGTATGAAAACTCCTGAGCTGTAGGGGATGTTCTCATCAGCATCTTTACTTCCAAGTATTCTTTAGTATTTTTGAAAAGAACAGAGCAGATAGTTTGAAGAATTGTGTATAAAACATCTCTCAATTAGTCCTAAAGATCATGACATCAATGTAAGTGTCCAGGTTTCTCTGTACTTTTTTGCTCCCCTTTCAGATGGGAGCAATACTTCAAGGCAAAGATTGACAGTAACCATTTATCAAAACAAAACGTGCTGAAAAAGATATCGGTAAGAGTCATGGGACACTAAATTCAACTTTGCTATTGCTCCTTCCACACTTTGATTGAAAACACTGCAAGTGTTTTAGTTGAGCAAGATCAAAAAAACTATAGAGGATAATACTTTAGGATAAGTAATGCAAAAACTTGCCTTCCATAATCCTTTGGTGCCTTCGTTTTGGTAGATCTGTATAAAGTTGCCCATCATTCCTCCTTGTATCATACTACCTTGCGCTTGCATTCTGATCTGGGAGACAGTTGAAGATCAAAACAGAACATAAGTGCTTTTCTAACGTAAGGTTAGAAATAGTTTAGCGTAGTTGTATCATTGTAACTTGCTAGCTTAAAGCCAGCTTTCCACTTGAACACAAAGTGATAGCTGGTATTACCATAACCACGATGCAATCTTTGCAAGCGCCTCAACTATCCTCTGCTTGCAGTTACTAGTTTTCTACGTGGATGTGGTGTAATTCTTGGCTATATTAAGTCACTTCTATTTCTGTATTCATCCTCATTTAGACTAGATTGACAGATAGTTTCTGCAGTGTCCTTCATAATGTTCTAAGAGGAACCTCTTAAAATGAAAGGTTAAGAGATTAAGGTTTCAGCTAGTAAGAACCAACTTCTCCCATCTCTCAGATATCTGACACTGTCCTTAGGAAACTGTCCTTTTAACTACCAAAAATATCCTTTTGATGACAAGCAAGTTGGCTTGGGAAGGAACTATGGGAAATAACCAGTTGAAGCCATTCTTGAAACGGAAATTATAATACAATTAGGAGACAGACACATAAGTGATATGATAATTTTCTAAGTTAAATACTACTAACCCTTTCTACTGAGGAGAAAAAGGTCCAAGTATTATTAACTACTCTGAAGAGGCAATGGTTTCAGATTCCATTAAAATGATTGGTAACTTGCTAAGCACTACTCTACAAAACCTCTAGCAGAAGCAACAAGATCTTGACCCATAGGATTTTCAAGAATCATACAACCTGAACACCAGTCACTGAAATTCTTACCTCTGAAGTGACTTTCACATATTTAAGCTCTAGAATCATTCTAAAATAGCAGTATTACAAGAAAATTAAACTCCCCAATTAAAATGCACAGTGGTGTTTCCACATACACTATAGCATGAACATTATAATAACTGTAGTCTTAAATGATTTTTTTTTTTTCCTCCTTAAAAAAAAAATCCACAGATCTAACTCCTTCTCAAGCCATCAATTTCCCAGGACATGACTACATTTTCTAAAAGGTAGATGAAACAAACTATAAACACGTAAAGCATAGTTACCTTCAAAACATCTGTAGGGTTGGCAATAGCTGACGAAACTACTCCCGAAAGAACACCACATAGAACATTTATCATCAGGGTTTCATCTATGCCATGAACAGAGGAAAAAAGTTTAGCTGCAAGTGTACAGAGCATACAAGGCATCTTAGCAGAAAGCTTCCTCCACTCCTACAACTAGAGACAGTTGACTATAGAAGTTTTAACATGCCCTGACACAAGCTTATTCCAACCACTGCAGTAAGATAACAAATGCAAAGCGCCACCTTCAGGCAAACGAGCCTAAGCTGCCAAGCCCTCACCTTCTGGATGTTCAACAAACATTCTTTTCAAGCTTTGATAAGTGCCGATTTTAATAGTTCCATATGAAGCTTGGCGTAGCATTGCAGGTGCAATCCTGTAAAAATAGGCAGTATTTACAACTTAAATAACAGTATTTACAAGTTAAAATTGTCAAAGTGAACCATTAGCAAACAGTTTAGTGTGGGAGAGATTGATCACAAGGTATCTACCACTGAAAGCTTTGATCATTTAAATTTTCAATTTAAAAAAAATCACTGTGGACAAAACAAGGCCTTTTACGTACAGACTGCAAAAACATGTGTGAACAGTAGAAGAATTATTTTAGAGCAAGTCTCAACTTGTGGTCTATAAAATAGCACACAAATTTGCTCAAAATAACTGCAGCCTAGTTAATACCCTGCCACGGTCTTTTGGAAGAAAAGCACAAACTTTTTTCCCCTAAATAAAGTCAGAATGACTGTGTAGAGTAAGTTCATGCTTAGCTAGATACTTTATTCTTCATTTTAAAATAGCTCATTCTTTAAAATAACACATTATCTGAATTTCTTTGGTGAGAAAGTGTTCTCCAAATACCTTGTACAACCCCAACTTAAGAGCTGAAATACTACAGTTTATGCTCATTATAAACGCACTGCTCAGAAACCACTATGCAATTTAACTTACCCTGAGTACAATGCTTTCAATCCTTCTTCTTTGAATATTCTCACTAGTGCATGCATCATCCCTCGGTAGCGGATCTCTCTATATTTGGCATCATTAACTTGACCTTGAACTTGTAGACGTGTTTTGGTCAGGTCAATTGGGAAAGTACCTTAAAAAATAAAATTGGGGACAAATTCTAGTAAGTTAAATGAACGTTTGCCAGAAAAGTATGGCTTCTGTAGATTGTACATCTTTCACGGGAAATTTTGCACTATTGGCCACTATCAAATAAGACAGAGGTCACAGTTCAAGTTTGAGAACGATTCATGAGATGAGGTAGAAGACAAAAACATAATAGTGGTCTTACTTACAGAATAGGTGCAATGTAAATTATCTCAGGGACTCCATTTGTGAGTCTGACATCAAGTACCAGAGCATTTACAAAACTAATTATGAAGTAATTATGAAAAATACAGAAATATAGTTTTCTTTATTGTCACATATGTCACAACTAAGATTTAAAGGACGTTAGTATTTTAGGTTAGTCTGTGTATTAAACACAATCAAATGCATTATTTCACCAGAGTAACTGTATTATGCATTGCACTAAATAGATGTAATCATTCAAGGTGCAGCAGACACTAACATTCAAAAAAAAGGAATGTAAACTGCAAGACAGATACTTGGAAAGCTAAAAAACAATTTTACTAAAGAGTTTAGCTTATTATTCTAGTAAAACAAAGTGTGTGTGTAGTGTGTCTATTACAAGCACTGTTTAAAAACGGATCAAACACTGAACAAGAGACAAAAGCCAAAGGACAGTTTGTATAAAATCAAGAGTTTACATAAGAGTTCCAACAATAAAACAAGGTTCTGAACAACTTCTTAATCTGCAGCACAGAAAAAACTCCAGTGCTTCACCCTGAAGACAATCATACAGTACAACAGCACTGATTGACCTGATGGAATTAGGCTTGTTTTCAAGGGGACTTTCCAAGTTATAAAGCCATGTACACAATTAAAAGAAATGCTTACCACATTCTGCAGTTATTGATGCTAAACCTCCATAGATAAATGGCTTCCAGTTCAGTGCTGACATTATTGATTGGTCTTTCTGTGAAAGACAAGAGCAATTAAGACTTCTACATTAAAACTATTTTTACTCAAACGCATGCATCTGCAACATTTGCCACCTAAAGCACTAGGGGAGGATGCATATGCAAGCATTTAACACAAGCTTATGTTTCATCCTCTTAAGGTGGATTTTCCGAACATGCCAAGGGTGAGAAGCCATTTAGTACCTTGGACAAAGGTAACGCTGCATTGAGGGCAGCTGGGTTCAAATTGGTGACTCTGGGCAAGTGAACTGTCCGGTTCAATCACCTGTTTGGTTCAAATGTGTTGTCTTGGACAAACTTTATCTTCCTTGCAAAAGGTGAATGTGATTATCTTCCAGACATGATCTTAAGGAACACTGCAATTAAGAACTTCTGAGAATTCTGACCAAGCTTGAATTAGTTTGACTACATCCTGGAACCAGGCAGCACTTCAAGACATTCATTATTAAAACTCTGTTCTCTTTCTGGCATGAAGATGAACAGAAAATATAGGCGTACCATACATTCTTCCATTAAGGTATCAATTCTTGCTAATGTTACACAGAAATAGTATATACTCAGCTGCATAAGCCTTTTACAGCAAAAAAAGTCTGCTCCAGCACAGAAGTTAATGAAACAACTTTGACAAAGAAGTGACTGCAAGCAGCAAGTATTCCATGATACACACTTTGCAAGAGGCAAATCCAATAACGATCTCAGAAAGAATTGCATATCAGACTAATCTAGCCTATTCAAGATTACACTTTGCCAAATGAGGTCTCTTCACAGCTTACCTCTTCCCTTACTCCTAAGCAAAGACTCTGCTTCATTTTCTAGAATATCTTCCTAAACCTCTGAATTCTACAACCTCTTATCCATGAGTTGCATGAATAGCTGCATTTAACACCATACTTGGCTTGCACTTCCACTCTGTTCATTTGTTTATCCAGCTATCCCACCTAGTTGAAAAGGGGTCCCAGATATATTCACCATTTATTTAGCATTGCTTACTCTATAAAGATGAACCTTCTTGGGCCATTCCCTCTATCCAGAATTTCTAATAATATAGTGTCCAAAGGGAGTTTACAGAAGAGGCACATGTTGAGCCTGCCTGCTGAATAGCTGCTGTACTGCTACTTTTCCTCTGTTGTCTTTATTTTATGACAAAAATTACCTAGCAGTCTGACACAAAAAGGGGAGAGAGAAAAAAAAAAAAAAGAGAGATACGGGAACTCAGAGCACACATTTCAAACACTCAGATAAAAGAAATTCAGTTTCTTAAGAAGAGATCATTATTATAAGAAAGGCAGGAAGGGCAAGCAAGGGCACTCGCTAAATTTCCATGACCTTCTGGCAATTAGGAAGCACTGGCACAGACTGCCAGCTTTTCAATGTGAAAGCAGCAGCAGTCACATCATGCGTGTGACACTGCACTCTAGGGAGGCCACATGCAGCCTGAGGTACTCCAGTTCCTCTGCTGTCATGATTTACGGCAGAACCTGTGATTAATGGAGGCAGGGCTAAGCTCAATTTTCCCTACCACAGGCCACACATGCTCCTCTGCTTTTATTAGGCCTTGCTACCCAGATTAAAAATACCAGCTAACTTTCAGCTTCCAACATCCTGAGATGCATTTTATAGCTAACATAAATAGAGCTGTTAATACAAGGCTTTAAAAGACACTTTTACCATTGCTTATATTTTATATTTGATTCTATTGTTTATATTTTATGTTTCATTCATCTCAAGCAGTGTAAACCGCTCAGCTTTCCCCTGCAATTCCAGGGCAGTAATGCAACACTGCAATGCATTCACTCTGGGAGTAAAGCTTCCTTTTAGATGCATTTACTAGTACCTGCTGAATGAAGTTTGGATACACACTGGGTGCATTGAGACTTTTTAGAGTGCTTTTCCCTTGACATAAGTGAAGATTAAAGTCTTGGCTATTTGGTGTGAAGATCTGTACCTCTGAAGGGATTACAGTACCGGTCTCTGCCCACTGTGAGGGCCAAATCAGCAACTCTGAGTCTTCCCATTTCTACTTTCCAGCCCTTCCACCTTTCCATACCTAAAGTACACAGGGACATGGCAACTTCTTCCACCTCTTACCCCCAAATTTTTCTCAGCACTGGTAAGAAAAGAAAGTAAACAACTCCTTAAAAGAGCTTCATATTAGATGTCTGAATTACAGCAAGCTTTTTAATACTATTTTGATTGCTTTGACTTGACAACATGACAGAATTAAATTCAAAATGTAAATTTAGTAAGAGACCATGTTACTGAAAGCAGGTCTAAGTTCAATTTGGAGGCCTAATACCACATTCTCTAGTTAACTCTAGGAGTCACAGTATCACTCATAAAATGCATGACTGAATACACTCCAAGTCATAACAGCTTTAACCTTTTAAAGCTTTTTTAACGGATTTGACCATTGTGCACTACCAACACTTACGTTAGATGATTTATTACTCCTAGAGAGTTAGTGCCTGCAATACAAGCAAACCTGTATAAACGCAACTAAGGACTGCTCTGTGACTGTGCAAATGACACTTCCCAAACGCACTTCAACATCCACAAACACGATGCGGGCAGGGCTGAGACCAGCAGCCACTGTGTTAATTCCGAGCAGAACTCCATGAAGACAATACAATTCCCCACAACCAAAGGCATCCCTTGATAAATAATGCAAGTCCATAGTTTCCTGTATCGTGAAAGACACAGCAACAGTAGCTAGGAAGGACAGCAACAACTAGCACACTAATTAAGTACTCCTCGGTGACAAACAACCACAAACAAAACAAAAAGAAAAGAAAAGATGCGCGAGCTACCTTCCTCCAGCCCAAGTGTATCAAGAGCATCAGGAAAAGCAAGCGAAGGCGCCAGCAAAGGCGCAGCACGTGGCCGCCCGCGAGAGGAGAGGGAAACCCTGCAAGGTGCCAGGCGCCCCCCGCCCCGTCTCCTTCCCCTAACGGGGGCTGCGCGAGGCTACCGCGGGACGCGCGGGGCGGAGAAACGCGCCCGCGCGGGACGAGGGGCCGCGTGCGCGCCGCTCCCTCAGGGACACCCACCCCGAGCCGGACCGAGCTGAAGGGCGGCCAAGCTTCCCCACTCACCGGCGAGCCCGGCCACCACCGCCTAGAGCAATCCAGAGCAGACAGCGAGCGGCCGCCTCCCGCCGTTTATAAAGCAGCGCCGCCGCCGCTCGCCCGCCGCCGCCCCGGCCCAACCGTCACCTCGGCCCCGCCCCGCCCGGCGGCCGTTGGGGCGCACGAGGCCCCGCCCCGCTCCGCGGCCGTTGGGGCGCTCCGCGGACGGTTGGGGGGCGGGTTTAAAGGGGCCGCGCCGGGAGGGCGCTGGGCTGTGGGCGCCATGCGGCAGCTCCAAGGGAACGAGGCCCCTGGGCGGTGGGAAGCGCTCCCTCCTCCGCGCGGGGCATGAGGGGCTCGTGCCCATGAGAAAACCCTGCGAGACACCTTCAAGTGGCATCCTCTCCCACAGAGAAATAACGTCGGGGGCAAAAATAACCTTCTAGTAGTTAGGCGGTAGCTGCAGGTGTGGGAAGGCGCAGGTGGAAAGGCCGGGAGGTGGTTCCAGCCGCGCGCCGGGTGACCGCAACAGGCACGTGGGGCACTTCAGCGCCGCCGGGTTAATGAGTAGGTCACTCACCCCTCAGGCTCTCTCCTTATCATTAACTACAATAACTGATGCTGTGCCATTTTCCAGGTTAAGCTTCCTTCAGTCCATGTGGGAAGCACGGATGTAAGTTCTGCAGAGCGCAGGTTTAAACGCTGCTCCTTTGCTATTAGGATGACCCCGGTGGGTATTTTTAATTAAAGTCTGCGCACAATCTCTTGCCCATATGCTGCATCCATTAATGCAGTTATATATCCAGTTCTCTCCTGCAGAATCCTGACGGGCTTTGTACAGCACATACCACTGTGCAGCCCTGTAACGGAAGGAATGTGGAAACTATTCCGGACACCTCCTGAGCCGCGGCCTGTTCCTGATGCCATGGGCAGAGAAGCAGTGCTGGAGCCCCTGAGAAATGGTAGGGATAGCTCTTGTCCCGCTGCCCCAGCCCTGCTCCAAAGGCACCTCACTGTGGCCTCGATAAAACTGTCCTTATCAATAAAAGCGCCAGCCTGAAATCCGGCTTGCAGTGAGGGAACTGCCTCGCGCAATGGAAACAATCTTCTCCTTTAAAGGAGGACTTCGGCTCCAGCTTGACCTTAAGTTGTCAGCGTTTAGCCAGCACCTTCTGTTGTTTTGTCATCAGCTTAGATGCTAACCGGTTCCTGCACGGTGCAACTTGCATCCAGGCACATTTCTCAAGTACCAACTAGTACTCCACCGTACTTAAATTCCCCCAACAAAAGAGGAATGCAGGTCAACTTCTGATACTTTTGGTGACTCCTGTCTGGGTGCCCTGAATAGCCCCGTTCCCCGCACTTCCAACGCTGTTCATGCCACGAGACACCTGGTAGTCTTATCAGCAGCCAGGAAAACCCTGGCAGGCCGCCCTGGAGCCCGACATGCAAGCCGCGTGGCTATTAACTGCTCATGGGTTCACTTTGGTGCTCAGCAACTCCTCACATGCCTCTGTGCAGCTGTGTGTGCACCGGTCACACAGTCCTGCAGCCGTTTGCCCCCAAAGCCTGAGCTTTTCTGCTGAGATGTGCAGGGCTAAGGTTTGATTGCACAGTTCCCAGGCCCCTCATCTTACAACTCCTAAGTTTCTGCCCACATTTTTTGAAATCTTTTTTTAAAGAAAACAGGGCTGTCTTCAAACAATCCCACCAAAGAGCTCTGCTTTTTGTGCCTTGATTCTTGCTTCACTGTTTTTCCACTGCTGCCTACAATGGAAAATATTTCTCTTCTGCAGCACTGAAGGCAGTTTAGTCTAGTTGTCCTGCTTAGTGCAGAGATCCAAATGGTTACAGCCATCATTCCAATTCGCTTGTCATTCTGTCACCCACTCATCACCACCATCTTTGTCCCATGGAAACTTCAATAAATC